AGTTAGAACAAAATTTTTCCGTCACTACTCTGATTCGAACCCGGGACCTTTGAATGAGAGGCCCACCGGACCCGAACGCTACGCAAACTGCCATTCGGTCGACACTAAGTTTACAACTGAGAGAACTGAGTTGATCTCACAAACATGGCCGACCGTCATCTGCAGCGGCTTCACGTAATGCGACTCGCGGCCTCTCCTATTAATAGTTACTCCAAGGTTTTAAACAAGTATTTTCCCTGTGATAAGTCGCTATCCTAGAATTAGATAGTTATATCTGCTTAATAGCCTACCTAGATTTTTTTTTCGAAATTTAATTTTAAAAATTTTGAGTCTCACAGCATGTTGAAGCTTTTTCGAATGCAATTCTTTAAATATCTTGATAACGACTCCGAATTACGATTTTGACGAATTCTCTTGGCCGAAGCGAAATGGTGAAGACGCATATTTCGAGCTCTGACATTTTCGGAAAATACCTCGGCTTCTGCGTGGCGTATGGTGTGAAATTTTAAATCAGTAGATTTGTGAGAGTACTGTGCTTACTTTGAGAGTATCAAAGTGTTTTTTGGAATAGTATGTTTTACGGCAATTTCCCATTTTATTGGAGTGTGTTAACGGTGTGTTGTGTTGTGAGTGTGAGTAAGGCCACCATGATACCCGTGGAGCAGTGGCGTTGCACAATAGGACAGTTTACCGGTGGGCGTAAGCCAAAAACACTACAAGGCGTCGTTCGCTCTAACTCAAAACAAGAGAAACAGAGTGGGTTGAACTGCCGATTATTTGTTTGTGCTTTGGCTATGTGAGTAGATCTAGTTGTGGTAGATCTAGAAACTAACTGTATAAAGTCCTTCATGTTCGAACCTGTGGTTAACACTATACTTTTAGCAGGCGACGTTGAGTCAAACCCAAGACTCACTCTCGAGGAGCACCTCGACACAATCAACAATAATATTTGTAAAAAAATCCTTACCCTTACAATGGAGGTGCAGAGTATGTTCTGTGCAAAAAGTGGAAAACGCTATAGCAGAAGTGAAAGAGAGTATACATGCTGTAATTGAACGAGTCGACGATATAGAGCGCCACCACGATATCCTCCAACTTGACATCGACGCCTATAACAATCTAATTACACAAACACAGGAACGTCTATGTCAGGTGGAGGACAGCATTGAGCGTCAAGAACAGTACAGTCGCCGTGAAAATGTTATTTTCAACGGAATAGTGGAGGAAAGGGTTGGCGACAACACAGAAATGAGAAGGAAGATAACCGATCTCCTAAGCAAAGCAGTGCCCTCCAAAACCTAGAAGGAGGAAGACATCATTCGTGCACATCGGTTGGGCGCGCACGGCAGGGGCAACGCGAGGCCGGTCATAGTTCGTTTCACACAGTTCGTGGACAAACTAGAGGTTCTCAGGGCGAGGCAGGATTTTCATAGAATGGATGTCAGCGTCTCAAATGACCTTACTTTGAAGCAACGCCAGGAATTGAGCAGACTGAGAGACAAAGGCTGGAGAGGATACTACAAGAATTGGAAACTGGCTGTGGTTCCAGAGACTCAGCTGGCACCCTCGGATTCCCCCGCCACAACCCACCGACACATGGGTAACGCAGGGAGACCAGCGCAGGCACACGGAACAACAACAGCGAGAACTCAAGGAGGTCGGTCTGCGGCGAGATAGGAGTTCGGCCAGCCAAATTCAGAACAACAGTGAAAACAGAAGTACCGGAAAACCAAATAGCTACAATAACAACCTATGTGAAAAAAATTGATAAAGTTTCGTTTAATGAAATTAATGCCTGTTTGGAAGAACTGCTTCTTTCAAAGTTCCCTGACTATCATCTATACTTTTCGTACCGTCAACACTATCTTGGTGGAGGAGTTGTGAGAATGATTAGAAATGCACTTACCTCTTTTTTCAGCGTCTGACAGCTTCAGAAAAAGAATGTATTTTTTCCCTCGTAGACAAAAGTGTGCTACGATCAACTGTGGATGTATTGTTCTGCTTTATTTACATTCTCCATGAATACTCACCTGTGTATCGTGAGACATTATTGAAAGGCGTTGACCAGTATAGTGAATGATGGGAAACAATCAATGTAAAACATGGAAACTTGCCCTGGTTGATTGCGAGGGATTTAAAATCTAGGACCGGTGTCATGGATGATTTTGTTTTGCCTGATAACGTGGCTTCTTTTGTATATGGATTTTACACTTGCGATCTTATCTCAGATTATATGGATTTCGATGTCAGGGGTAGTAAGTCTCGGGATTTAGAAACAAATGCATTTGGGCTTCAACTTATAGAGTTTTGTAAAATTAACAAACTTCAAATACTGAATGGCAGAACAAATGGAGACGAGGAAGGGAACATCACCTGCATTGCAAACAAAGGCAAGTCAGTTGTTGATTATATCATTGTAAGCACGGGTGGGTGCACATACAAGTTAGGCATAGAAAAATCTCCTGATAGGTAGAAATGGAGGCTATCTTAAAAGATCTTAGAGATGGTATTGGGAGTATAAGATCTTAGAGACAGTAACCTATTATAGTTACTTGGGCCTGGCGCGTCTATGCTGGAGACGAACGCTGGAAGATCGATCTTGTAAAGCTCAACGGATTGTTTCTCGAACAAGAAGGATTTTCAGTTCTTACCAAGAATTAAATTTCGAAACAGCAAAAAACATTTTTGATATAAAGATTAAACCAATGCTGCTTTATGGCTCTGAAATTTGGGGTACCAAAAATTGGGACGTGATTGATAATGTTCAGGTAAAGTTCTGGAACGCCTTTTTTGGGTCTTGGCAAAACTACACACAAATGTTTAGTTCTAAGAGAAGTGGGAAGAACTAACTTATGTTCTGATTACATGCATTGTGTCATTAAATTCTGGTGCAGACTTATACACTTAGAAAATGACAGATATCCAAAAAAAATGTTACATGCAATTATATAGTTCCTGTGAACTGGGCAGCGTCAACTGAGCTACGGAAGTTAAAAACCTATTATTTTTCCTGGGTTTTGAATATGCCTGGTTTTCTCAAAATGTTGGAAGTACTAGACTCTTTTTCAGTGAAGTAAAAAGTAGACTTGTTGACCATTCTGTGCAGAACATAGAGGAAGAAGTATGTCGCAAGTTAAATGTTTTCTCTTTTACAATTCCGTTTCAAGAAACAGCTGAATATATCATCAACCTCCCACGGTATTGGAGCAGAAGAGTCATTGCTTAGTTAAAAACCCATAGCCTTCCATTAAATAACAATCTCTATAGATGGAAGTTAACAAATTCACCCATATGTGAGAGGTGTGGCTCTCAATCTCATGAAATTGAAGATGAATTTCACTTTATTTTCTATTGTTCACACTTTTGTCCATCAAAGGAAATTGTTAATCCCTCCTGGCCTGACTCGCCCAGTGACAGAAATATGCAATGTTTGATTCATGATAAGAGATATGTGCACAACCTGTACTTATTCATTATGGAAACTTTACTTATCAATAAGTGTTTTATGTGATGTGATGTGGGCCAATGGCCTTAAACACTGAATAAACTTACGATTTTGACAGAGCAGAGAACATTTGGTTTCCGACCTCATGACCTTAGTAACTCAAAACTCAAAACGGCCATAAATGCCAGATATAACATTGTAATTGTAAGGTAGCGAAATGTTGTTTTTCCCCTTGAGAACTTCCGACAGAGTAGCCCACCTTCAACTTGGCCTATAGAGCAAAGAAATCGCAGTTATGTTGAACTAAATTTAGTTTCTGACGTAACTATCACGTCATAAACCAGTCTTCATAATTAACTTTTTGGGTCTAGTTATTTTGGTCCCAAAGGACGCGTTACGTTATATGAAAACTATGAAAGTGATAGTAGTAGTAGTAGTAGTAGTAGTAGTAGTAGTAGTAGTAGTAGTAGTAGTAGTAGTAGTAGTAGTAGTAGTAGTAGTAGTAGTAGTAGTAGTAGTGGTGGTGGTGGTGGTGGTGGTGGTGGTGGTGGTGGTGGTGGTGGTGGTGGTACTAGGTGTGGTAGTCGTAGTATCATCATCATCATCATCATCATCATCATCATCATCATCATCATCATCATCATCATCATCATCATCATCATCATCATCAGGGGCGGTGCTAGGTTCGGGCCAAATGTATCATGCCCCCCCCCCTCCCTTTTCCTTCTCTCATATTTGTCCCCAACAATTAACTTATTAAAAATTTTCATAAGACTGTGCTGTACGTTTTTCAATTTCACTCAAATGCTACCAATACATGTCCAATGTCCACGGCCCATTTAATCCTACGTGACGTCACTGGTTATTAAAAAAATTAAAGAAAACAACTAAAGATAAATCTAGGTAGCACCAGATGGAACCTGGTCGCGGGCTTAGGGTGCTGTTGACGGCTGACCTGACCCCGGTCACGATATTTATATTTTAATAATATATTCTGTGCTAATAAAACAGCTCCAGTTTTTATGACAGCTGGGAAATTCAATGACTCAAAAATCAAATGATCACACTGAAGTCGTACCAATGTTTTGGTTCTGACATTTTATTTGTACTGGCCCACACGTGTCCAGCCCAAAAGGAAATCAAAGGCCAATAGTGCCTTGATTAATAGCGTATTTGAACGTTGCAGATTGGTGGCTCAGTGCCACCCTACGCCACCGATCATCATCATCATCATCATCATCATCATCATCATCATCATCATCATCATCACCATCACCATCATCATCATCAGGAGCTTGAGATGGTATAAGACCTTTGTGAATGAAGATCTCAGCTCACGTTGCCGAAGATGCAGCCATGAAAAGGAGGATGTCAAACATGTTTGAATGTCCAGGAACAATGGCAATTCGAATGGAGTTATTTGGACGAGTGGAGGTGCCTCTAAATATATTGACAATGGAGCCGAAAAAGAGCCTCGCTCAAAAATTTCTTTGTGGAGTCCACCAGGTCCATTAAAGAAACTTTAAAAAATCATCATCATCATCATCATCATCATCATCATCATCATCATCATCATCATCATCATCATCATCATCATCATCATCGCATGTTTTAAAGTAGAAAAAAAATATACTTGAGACTTGAATAGGGTTGGTCATCTTTAATTAGATGTTCGTATAAGCCTGCACAATAAAGAGAACCAAGCAGAGGAGAACCCCCCCCCCTCCTCTCTCTCTCTCTCTCTCTCTCTCTCTCTCTCTCTCTCTCTCTCTCTCTCTCTCTCTCTCTTTCAACCCCTAATCCTAACCCTCCTCTTCCTTTTTCCTCCCAAAGGATGGACTCTAGCCGAACGACCCAGCTCGGACTTCCAGTCCCCCGAGAGGCGTGTGTGTGTGAGGCTACAGGCTATGGAGACCAGCTGGCCTCACGCTCGCCGCTCCTGCCTCGCCGACAAAGGTTTTTTGGTCAAGACAGACGTCCAGATGAACGTTGGGGGAGTTCGACTTGATCACTATATCAAGGGGCATGGTCAGTGCTTTTGATCGATAACTTGATTGTAAATCGTTCGGTCTGTCTGTCGTACCTTCTCCCGGCACTAAATTACCATTAGTGTGTCGATGTGCTTCTCTCTACTCAAACAGACAAGCAAACAAAAGCACCCCCCCCCCTCCCCAATCTTTTCCGCCCATTATGCACGGCGTGTGTGGTGTAATGCCTATTCGCTATTACACGCACACGACGTGACAAAATGCGTGAAATGGTATAGGGTTAAGACTCCTTTGCAACACTGTACGATTATTTAAGAGGCGCAACCTCTGAATTCAACGTCTCTCTCCGATAGAACCGAGCCAAAGGGGGAAATTTGTGTAAAAATGACTTTCCTACAGACACAAGGCCCTGTCGAGCTGAGCCTCGAGCCCCTGTACCCTCATTCTCGCCATTACGTCGGGACCAAGCCTAACCACTAGACTATAGAGGCCACCAAAGACATAAAATCGTTTCCCGTGAGGGAAAGTATTTTTTAAATCTATCCCATCCGGAGAGATGGGAGATGGTTTCAATCTTTTTCCATCTGAAACTACATCATGTGCTTTTTTTCCCAAAAATTAGAATATACGTAATTTCGACCAAATATTTTACTTGTACATGTAGATCTATATGCAAACGGTACCACGTATTAATAAACTGCAATAAACTTTTTTTTTTCAAAATTTTTTGTCTTAGCATATTTGAACATCTAGATCTAGCTGGCTAAATATATTATTAGCATATTACGTAATGTGTTAGCACGTGTGTCAGTTCCTTTTCTTTTTCTTTCTTTTTTGTGCTGCCCTTTATGTGATAAATTAAACACGACAAAGTGCTTTAATTCTTTACGGTTTTTAAAAATTAGATTAGCATCTATTAATGAATATATCCCTTATAGATCCTTTAGAAATATTCTGAACTCAAGGTATTCACCCACGCGACTGCATGGTGCTGAATAATAAGGGGTTTTTTTTACGATGTGCAAGTCTCTCTTTTGCTACTTTGTATTCTTTATAGATTTGACACAAGATTCGTGAACTTCGTGACAATGCCATCGTTGTGGGCGGACTGTTAAGAGCTGCATCAAGTCGTGTACACGGCATACGGCTTGGAAAGGGGGGGGGGGTACTAAGGGGATGATTGGATTAATACTGTCGATACTGTCTAATACGGCGACCTATTGTTGAAAAGGAAAGTGACCGTCTTACATAGAAGACCGTCTTACACAGTGTGATCACATTGTAAACTATATGCAAGGGAGGAAATGGGAAGTGGATGGCTGTACAGATGATTGTCTTATACAGGTGGCCTTTAGGGGAGGGGCGACCGTCGAGGTCCATTTTCTCTGTTTGTTGCCTGAGGTCAAATATAAGTACACATACAAGTTAGGCAAAGACAAATCTCCTGATAGGTACTTTTATTTTTGCATAGCTGCAACGGTTGCTATGGAAACGGCTGTCATCTTGAAAATAAACAATGCATTTCATTTCAGATGGTTAAGGTTTTCTTATTTACGAACCAAATTTGACCAAAGTTGGTGAGAGTATACTCCTGAACCAGTCCTTATCAACGTTACAGAGAGTACTTTTCATAAGTATAAAAGAAAAAAAAGAAAGAAATTTCCCAATGTATATAGACCTTTTCTAAATTTTGGTTTCGTAATCACTTGCCACTGGAAAAGTTATATTTTTTTTCGCAAATATCTCTTTGTTACATTGATGGCAGCCTAACCATTTATGTTTCCCTAAAGTTTCATGACAAAGGGATGAAAACAAAGGAAAGGGTAGGGGCAAAACTGCAAAAAATGACATTTTGAGAAACACGACAATTATTATAAATACATGCAGTCGCTACATTCTAACATACCCTTATGTTTTCAAAGGCAGTTTACGACGAGAATAATGATTTTCTTAGTTGTCTCCTTGCTATTTTTAGACTAAGAACTGGTTGACCTTAAAAAAAAATCAGCCAACATCTCAATTTACATAGCTTGACCCAAAATCGGCCAAACAGAGGGTCGCCCCTCCTGTTTAGAGCCGTGCCGACTGTACTGTATGTCGGTTCTCCTTTTAACTTGACAACAACATCAAAGAGAGAATTTAAGAAAAGTCTAAAGACATAGGCCGACGACTTTTCAACATTGTCCTCTTCCAGTAAGTTTTGAAATTAAAAATGTGTGAGGGACTGAGTATTGTGTTTGCACGCGCGCTCGCGCGCGCGCGCGTGTGTGTATGTGTGTGTGTGTGTGTGTGTGTGTGTATGTGTATGTGTGTATGTGTGTATGTGTGTGTGTGTGTGTGTGTGTGTGTGTGTGTGTGTGTGTATGTGTGTGTGTGTGTTTTGTGTAAAGGACAGACAGACAAAAATAATAATCGCTTTCTTTTCTCAGGGATCGGGTCAGTGTGGACGGGCATGCACACAAACTACGGCAGCTTGGTATGGGACGGTCTCAAGCCTAAGCTGGTGAAGGCTTACACAGGGTGAGGTTAAAGGGAAAATAATAATATTATGCTTCCCATAGACACAGGTTGGACATTTTGTTCTTCTTTCTATGTGTCTATGTGTCTGTGTGTGTTTGCCTGTCTGTCTGTCTGTCTGTCTGTCTGTCTGTCTGTCTGTCTGTCTGTCTGTCTGTCTCTCTGTCTGTCTGTCTGTCTGTCTGTCTCTCTGTCTCTCTCTCTCTCTCTGTCTCTCTCTCTCTCTCTCTTTCTCTCGCTCTCTCTCTATCTATCTATCTCTCTTTCTGTATCTCTCCGTGTATTTCCCTGTCTGTCTCTCTCTATCTGTCTCTCTGTCTGTCTCACTCCACCTCTCACTCACTCACACACACACACACACACACACACACACACACACACACACACACACACACGTGCACACACATAAACAACCTCCCCTCTGTCCCAAAAAACAACAAACAACAAACAAGAGAAACCAAAACAAACAACAGCACCCCCAAACAAACGAACAAACAAACAAACGAATAGATAAGCAAGCAAGCAAACATGCAAGCCAAAAAACAAACATAAACAAACGAAAAACAAGTCAACCTGATCAAAGGTAAAAATCAAAACATTTCTCTCCAAAATCATTCCCCCTTACAACAAATTCCAATTTGCCACGACACAGGGAGTCCCGGTTGTACGGCGTGCGCAAACGAGGCTGGAAGCTGGATCTGGGCCAGCTTGTGGAAGAGGAGGAAGAAGGAGAAGAAGGAGAAGATAATAGTGAGGAGGAAGACGCGTGTGCTGTTCTGGTCCTCGGCGGTACTTCGGAGTCTGGGGAAATAGGCTCAGAGGAGCCGTTGTCGCGCCGACACAAGAGATCACCGGTACAGGTAGGTGACGTGACATGTACAGAGGTATTGGCTACTGATAGATACACATACGAAGTGGTTTTGTCACACAATATAAAAGTAATGGCTACTGGAAGATGACTACTACTTGGTTGTATAACATATCGTGTATTCATCTCATCTCGTATTCATCTTCTCTTTCCTTCTGTACTTTCTTCCTTTATATGTCTATTCCCCAGGTGCCACCGTCTTCCAGCGTGTCTTCAACTGGCCCAAGTGGGCAAAGTGGTCACCGAGTGGACAACGAGGACATGCCTCTTAATCGTGAGCCCACGCGGGAGATGAGGATGGAGTCGCTGCAGAACTTCCTCTCCAACCAGGGCTTCCAGGTAGATCTAGACTATGCGTGTTGTGTTGTGTTTTGTTTGTGGCATCAGTTTGATGCTACTTCTGTGGCTGTTTATTTTATTGACATGCTCGTTGATATACAGATAGGCGCGCGCGCACACACACATTCATATACTGGCACAAACATGCACGCACACACAGACACACATACACACACTTACATACACACAAGCACCTACACACATATGCACACACACACACACACACACACACACACACACACACACACCTAGATACATAATATGCCACGACACATACACAGGCACACACACATACAGTATACACACAGAGACTCGCACTCACTCTCACACACACACATACACACACACACACACACACAAACACACACACACACAAACACACACTCGAGTGTACATACACGTACACGAACACACACACACGCACACACACACACACGCACGCACGCACACACACACACACACACACACACACACTCGCTGACTCAGTAATAATATACAGTCAAACCTGTGTAAGACGGCCACCCATTAGCAAGGAGAAAAGTGGCCGTATAAGACAGGTGGTCGTCTTAGGCAGGACTGATGAAGATGAAGAAAACAACCATTCCCATCTGATGTCCCAATCGAAAGTAGCCGCATTGTTGCTGTTTTTGTTGTTGGTGGTGGTAGTTTGTATTTTGTTTGTAATTTTTATTTTGTGGCTGATTTTGCACAAGGGTGACAATAAAACGAAATGTATCAGACGAGGAAGAACGAGCGATGCTTTGTCACAAGTTCATGTTGACGTCCTTTGTTACTTTGTTACAGAATAGGTAAACAGTGACCACTCTCCAACTTACGATTATGTATGGAGTTCTGGGCGGGGCTTATGGGTTTTGAGGGATCACACGCTCACCTCACCAGCAGCTGAAAATTGGTAGCTATTGGTCAACAGTGGGAGGGGCCTACGCAACATGATCGGTTGGAGGGACTACCTAACAACAACGACAGGTGATTGAATTATGACAGCTCGCCCACAACGCCAGGGGCCAGTGCACAATTTATGACAAAACGTAATGGAGTCACTAAGGTGGCCGTCTAAGACAGGTGTTATTGCTCAGTGTGATAGGGGTTGTGTGTTAAAATATGGTGGCCGCGGCCGCGTTGTACAGGTGCCCGTTTTACACAGTTAAATTATATAGAAAAAACGCAAGGGGGGAAATGAAAAGTGGCCGTTTGTACAGGTGGCCGTCTTATAGAGGTTACCGTCAGGGCAGGTTTGACTGTACTAATATCTACATGTAGACTACGTACACAATGACTCGAGCACACATACCGTACGCACACTAACTCTCTCTCCCTCTTTCTCTCCTTTTTCTCTCTCTCTCTTTCTCTCTCTCTCTCTCTCTGTCTCTCTCTCCCTCTGTCTGTCTCTGTCTGTCTCTGTCTGTCTCTGTCTGTCTCTGTCTCTTTCACTGTCCCTCTCTCTCGTTCTCTCAATCTCTCTCTCCCTCTCCCTCTCCCTCTCTTTCTCTCTCTCTCTCTTTCTCTCTCTCTCTCTCTCTCTCTCTCTCTCTCTCTCTCTCTCTCTCTCTCTCTCGCTCTCGCTCGCTTGCTCGCTCTCTCACTTAAACATAATATATATGTACATATGTACACATAAACAGCAAAAACTACGTAAGGAAATGTGTGTAAAGTGACCTTTCTAAAGATACAAATCGGATCAAGCTGAGCCTAGAACCACCGTTCAGCAATTTCATAATTATGAATCCGGTAACCTAACCACTAAACTACCAACGCCGCCAGCTTCTTTTTACTGCCCTTTTTATTTTACCGACCCCTCTGTCACCTTCCTCGTCCTTTACATGTCTCTCCTTTTCACTGCCTCCGCCCCCCTCTCATTACCCATAAGTCCCCCCCCCCCCCCCCCGTCCCACACCCACATACAAATATACACACGAACTTATTACAACGTTATTACAGGAAAAATACGTAGAAAGCATCGGCGACTCCAACAATCAACAGGTCGAGGTTAAATCACAAGGGCATATTATCCAATCGGGGGTGACCACAGTCTCAACGACTACAACTGACCAATCACAGCTCGAGGATGACGACTACCACCAGGTGACCAAAAGAAGTGTCCGGCCACCGGTTAGTACAACGTCAGTTCCGACCAGCCCGAGCACGACCAGACCGCCGGTCACATCACCTCCGACGTCTTTGCCCAGGCACGCAGACGCATCAGCTACACTGGGAGACAGACGCACATCCCTAGTTACCAGCAGTACAGCACGCCCGGAAACAACAACTGGAATAGACGACCTTTTAGGTCAACTGCTGCACGCTTCACTCGCCGCTAGCGGACCTGACCCAACAATGCCAGGAGGCGGAACTGGGGGCATTGGGGGCGGTGAGAAAGGAGGGGGTTTGATCAGTGGGGGCAATAGGGTAATTGGTGGATCTAATAAACCCTTTGCCGCGTCCCAGGCTCGCACAGTGCAGACAGCTGACTATCTCAGATCTCTGTTAGATCATGCCACTGTCACCATAGCGCCAGCCACTTCTGTGACCCCGGCGGGAGCTGAAGTGACCCCGACGCAACCTCCTGCTGATGCTAACGACATCCTAGCACAGCTTCTCGCCAGCGGTGTACAACAGCAGGACACAACTGAAACACCGAGAACGATCTTCTCCGCAAATCCCAGAGCTCGTAGTTTCTTTCACGGACTTCGCAACGGAAGCGTGACCAACGAGAATAGTATTGACAAAACGTCAAGGGGGCCTGTAGGGAATTCTGATACAACCACCACAACAACTTCAACAATCTCCGCCGGTACAACGGCTACCGAAGCCTCCAACACGGCCTCTCTCAGCAGGTCGACCGGCCCTACCGTATGGGCATCTTCTACTAATCGCTTGTCTCACAGGCCACAGGAAAACGCCAACTCTATCATGGTACGCGGTCGTGGCAAGAATGCACATGCTAAAAAGTCTGAGGTATCATTTGATAACACAACTCTGGACATGTCGAGGGAATCCAGTTCTTCCTCTGCTGATACCAGTGCAGAGAAAAATTCAAACGAAACGTCGTCGGATGGGAATTCTACTATGCCAGGGGGACTTTTCAATAGTTCTGTTACCACTGAAGATCCGCTAGACAACTCGCAGGAGGTCACTGACCCACTAGCGTCCGGCGAATCCACAACTTCCAGTCCACTAGATAGCGTGGATCCAATATCCAGTTTGCTGGGTGGTAACTCCTCGCTGGATGCCGGATCTCAGGAAGAGACCGGTTCTACCACAACGATAGCGAATCTACTCGAGAGTGTGGATCTCGATATATACGGACCAGTAAAGAACGATTCCAGTCCAGCGTATGGTGGGCTCGGAGTTTCGAATAACACGCGCTCCACAGAAGATAGTGCGGAGATGATGGACCGGTCAAACGTGACCGACTCGACGGAGAACGCTGTGGATGATGAGAACTTGGATATCCGCGATATGCTCACCTCGAGCAGGTCACGTCATCTGAACAACTCTGATAGTCACCAAGTAACGTCGCATGAGCAACCAGAGGGTGAGGATAGTTGGGGTCAAAATTCGCAAGAATCTGGTCTAGACCTTGGTGATGACGGCATCATGTGGGCAGGTCTTGGCGACCCGGAAATGACCAATACGATGAGCCTGGAACAGTGCCAGGAGGGACACTCGTCAGTGTGCATGACGGAGGCGGTAGAAGAATTGACTCTTGGTGAGCTATTTTGTTACTATTGTTTACTACATTTTTCTCGCCTTGTCTCATCAAGTAGCCTACATCAGTACCTTTATCTATCGTACATTTTTTTGAGTCGCGAGTCCAGATAAAAAAAATTTTTTTTTACTCATTTATTTATTTTATTTGGAAGATGCCAGATGTTGACTTAGTATACAACAAGTAATTAACACTCAATAAAGTTGTTCGACATTGATGTGGTCGGAATTTAATTATCTGAACGTTCAGTAAAACGCAGTTCAAACAAAAAGGTACCATTAAAACTGTTAATAATATGGAATGAGTGACTTTGATGCTGATGTAGTAAACCTGTGGTGTACAAGACACATGGCCACCGTTGACATTATAAATACAATTACCAAAATTAGGAAGTTCATGTTCCCTGGTAGAGCACATACACTGGGATAGATTTTGACCAAATCGTCAGTATGTTGATTTGCACAGAAATAGGTTAATCCAAAATCGAGAAATTCAGACTTATTCACACAGCTCTCAATCCACTCAGAGAGTGGTCAATGTATGGTTGATTAAACTTTGACCCACTATTTAGATTCTTTTAAAGTTTTCGATCGAAAGAAACCAGAGAGCACAAAAATAATACGTTTAGTAAGTAGTAGCACAAAATATAGACAACTATAGAATGGATCAATCAATGTAAAATATTTTTAAAAATATGGCCATGATGATGATGATGATGATGATGATGATGATGATGATGATGATGATGATGATGATGATGAGTTTTTATAG